CTGTAGGAACTGCACAATGGCTAGCTCAGTCTCCCTTCCCACTTAGGGCTAATCCAACATCAAGAAGGTTCAGCTTGACTATCTTGTAAGTCAATGTCTCCTCCTCTTCAGTCTTGCTTCTTTTCCTTCTCTCTTGACCCCCAAAACACTCCTCAATAGGATTTCCTTACATGTAGCCTTTTGTTTACTGTTGATATAAACTGAGGCCAACTGATGCCAATGGCGAGTCGTAATAACAGATGTCAAGATGTTGGACAACCTAAGGTCTGGCTAGCAAGAAGATGCCAGCATTGTTAATACTGCCCACACCAAGAAGTACAACTCTTCCAGCTTCGTTGGTGTTGCATTAGAACAGTGTACTGAAGGAAAGAAATGGGTTGCTAGGTAATACAATATCTTAGATATTTAGGTTGTTTGTTGTATTGGTTACTGTCCCTTTGTTCTTCTGTTTCTGCCATTTTGTTTTATTTTAGATAGTCTGGCTTCGAAATTAATAAATGAGGATGATCTTGAATTTCTTTCCTCCACCTCCTGAGTACTGGGATTACAGGAGTGGTCTTTAAAAGACTTTGAGTGTCCTGGCTTATCTTGACTAAAGCTCTGAGAAAAAAATATGGAAAAACAGAAAACGATTAACCAGCAATTAAATCTATGTGTGAATTCAGAGAGCCTCAAGGTGGTGGGTCCCTGTAGTCAAAGGTAAATAAACTGAGAACAGGGACTTCACCAGCGAAATAGCCGTGCACAGAAGTCAATTTCCCAGCAAAAAAATGGTTGTAAGTGCTTGCTCTTTAAATGCCAATTCGGTAAGATCTTCCTTTTAATTAGAATGCTTGATTCATTAATATTTAAAGTAATCATTGACATTAACAGATTCAGATCTCTCATCTTATTATCTGCTTCCCATTTGGTTTGGTTTGTTTTGTTTTCTAAGATAAGATTCCCTATGTAGCCCTGGCTGTCCTGGAACTCTCTGCAGACCAGGCTGGCCTCAAACTCACAGAGATCTGCCTGAACCTACCTCCCAGGTGCTGTAATCAAAGGTGTATACCACCACAGCCCAGTCCCAGCTTGCTTCTTACTGCTTTTGTTTCTTCTTCCTTTTTTTGCTTTATTTATTTTTTAGATAGGTTGACCTCAAACTCAAACACACTGAGGATGACCTTGATTCTCCTTTTCCCACCTTCTCCGTGCTGGATAACAGGCAAAGCACACCATCACGCCCCCTGTAGGAGGTGCTGAAGTTTGAACCCAGGGCATCCTGTATTCTAAGCAATCATTCCAGTCAAATGAGGTACACAGTATCTCTGCACTGTTTATATTGTGCTAAGAATCAAGGCTAGGGCCTGCCACCTGCTAGGTAAGGCCCTGCTGAAGGAGCTATATTCTGAAACTCCTGCCTTTGATTTGTTTACATTTCTATCTTCATTATTTATTAGCTTTTACTTATAGGGTTTGTCTTTTTATTTAGTAGTTATCGAGATTCATAGATGCACTTTTTCTTTTCCTTACCTTCTTTTTTGAAGCAGGGTCTTAATAAAGTTCAGGATGACCTGATATAAGTAGCTCACCCACACCGGCTTCAATCAAATTTGCAGTAATCCGTATACCTCTGCATTCTGAGTACTAGGATCACAGGGTGATGGCACCAGCCAGCCATTCTCCTCACAGTCTTCTAGCACAGGTGGGTCTGGTTTCTAGTTATCTGTCTTTCTTATTGGCTTCCATTCCCTCCCTCACTCTGTGTATCTGTTTTGAAGTCTTAGTTCACAGTTTCTAAAGCCAGAGGCCTGGATGCTTTTCTATCAGAGTTCCAACCACTAGTCAAACTGTGACTGTGACCTGTTGTTTCTGAGTAAAGCTACACACACCCTTTGTAGAACTTTGGTTTCTGTTTTGATTTCCTTTTCAAAACTGTGGTTGATCTCTGGAGCCTTTGTTAACCTCTAGGCAGATACTTTTAAAGGTAAACATCCATGCTTCAGAGGTAGGGTATGGGGAGAGGGAAGGCTATTGCCCCAGGAAAGGGCTGCTTATAGAACCTTCAAAACTGTCATTGTTATTTCAGATAACAGCCTCCCAAGAAACAAGGAGCCAACTAAAAATAGCTGGTTCATCTGGATTTACTCTCTTTATGAGTCCTAGGATAAACTTTGCACACTATAATACTAAATTCTCCACCCAGAGGCTTTCCTGTCTGCCTGAGTGTGTGTGTTGTGTGTGCACTCTCACATGTGTGTGTGAGAGGGAGATATAGAATTGTTATTATCATATCTATTCATTTTTGTGGGTGTGGGTGTGATTATTGCTGTGCCGCAAGTGACTGAAGCTCACAGGACAGCTTGCAGGGGTCAGTGCTCTCCTTCCATCATGACGGTCTTGGGACTCTAACTCGCTTCCTCAGGCTTGGCAGCAAGAGCCTCTCCACAACAGAGCCATGTCTGCCGTTGTTTAGAACAGGTTATATGAGTTCAATCTGAGTATTCTCAGGATCGTGCTCAATGTGATGATGTATTTTTCCAATCTGAGGGTGTATATTTTTCTCCAATAAAAGCCTGTTCCTGCCAGGCCTGAGGGCACAGGCCTGCGATCTCAGCACTGGGAGGCTGGAGCAGTAGGAGCAAGAGAGGAAGGCCAGCTTAGGAATCAGCGTGACATATTCTCCTAAGAACAACTCAGTCCATAGAGACCTTTGAACTCCAGTCTATCTTTCTTGCTTGCTGCCCTTTGTCCATTCTTTATGGAGATAGGCTTTTGTTTATCTATCCCAGGCTAGCCTGGACTCACTGTACAGTTAGTCTTAGTCTTGTCTCAAACTCACATCAATTCTCTTGCCTCAGTCTCCCAAGCACTGGGATATTAGTATGCACCACCACATCCAGGCCTCCTTTCATTCTCAACTCCCTAGCTCCCGTTTTTGGTTTTGGAGACAAGAGTCTCACTTTGTAACTCTGGCTGTTCTGGAGCTCACTACGTAGACCAGGCTGGCCTTGAACTCATGGAGATCCATTTGCCTTTGCCTCCTGAGTGCTGGGATTAAAAGCATGGGCCATTATGTTCCATTTCTGATACATGTATATTCTGTGTTTTAACCATAGTAATCTTTTACACTCTCTTATCCCACTCCCACTGAAGCCCTTCTTTACAACAAGCCATCCTCCTAATTTCATGTCTTACCATTCTTTCAGTGATATTGTGTGGCACTATTCCTACGGAAATAAGAACAAACATCTCCTCATGCCAGATAGGGAACTGATGGCAGATCAAAGTAAGAATACCCAAGTCCAACTTGGCAAACCAATGAGTTTTATTGGGGTTGCTTAGAGGAGTGTGGGTGAGGGACACTTATAGGAGCAGAAATAACTCACAAATAAAGACCATGCCAACGTGGGAGACCTTCAATAAAGCTGGAAACCTGAAACACCGCACAACTTGCAGACGACTGGACAGTTGGAGTGGGTCTCTTTCCAGGCAGTCGAGCCTCTTCCAGACAGTTCAGCTTATCTGAGTGCATCTCTTAGTAGTTCTTACTCTTTTTATATGCGTGGGGAGGGAGGGGCTGTAGTGATAAATTGTTTGTACTTCAATAAGTAAATCTTGCCCAAGACCAGAGACAAAGCTAAAGTCACTAGAGGTCAGGCAATAGTGACACATATTTGGGAGACAGAGTCTAGTCAGGTGGATCTCTGTGAGTTCAAGGCCAACCTGGGCTACACAGGATCAAGGCAGGAACAAATCCAGGCGGCGGATTTGTTTAATCCCAATCCTAGGGAATCATATACCTTTAATTCCAGCACTGGAATTAAATATGGGGGAACATAAAATGGAAGGAGAGAGAGGCTTTGTCTGCCTGGTTTATGGTTGCCCAGCCATGGTGGAGGTTAGGCTTCTCTAGTGGCTTGGCTGCTTTGCTATTCTGGTTCTGGGGTTGAACCCCAATTTCTGTCTCTGGGTTTTTGTTATTGGTGCTACAAGGGACCTACTACATCTGGTCAGTTTCAGGTCACTTTGGAAGGGATCTGAAACCTTTGAGTTGTTTACTTCCTGAACTTAAGGAGCTACCTCCAAAGTAGGTTTAATTTGGAGGAAATCGCTTCACAATGATGACCCACTGAGTTTTGACAGGGTTTCTGACCATGGGGCTGGAGAGATGACGCCATGGCTAAAAGCACAAACTGCTGTTGCAGAGGTCCTGGGTCCCAGCAACCATATCAGATGGTTTACAACTGCTAAGGCAGCATCTTGTACTGACACCTACTGCTTTGCGATTTGGTTCTCCAATGTGTGCAAACACTTGAAGTACCCCATCTTTGATCATGTAAGTCAACCTAACTAACCCCTTAATAATTTTATAAAGTCTAATGGTTCTATTCCTCAGAGAGTCCTAACGATGTTCCCGGTAAACACAGGTCCCATTGCCCAGTCACATAGGAGGCTAAGGCAGAAGAACATTCAAAGCCAGTGGGGGCAACTTAATGAGATGGCCTCAAAGTAAAACATTGTTAAGCATGATAGACTTAACATCATACGCGACCAGATGGAGGCAGAAGATCAAGAGTTCAAGGCCAATCTTGGCCACTATAGAGGCTAGTATTAGCCTGGTGAGACCCTGTCTCAAAAATCCAAGCCTAAACCACCAACAATTAAACCCTCCTTCTAAACATTTAGATGGGCGGGGATGTGGCTTAGTGCACTAGGCTCAACACAGGTTACACATACAAGAAAAATGGAAAATTAGAACATTTGGCCACTATTTAGGATTAAGGACACCATGCTGAGCTCTACAAGTCTTCTGGCCCGCTCGGCTGTCTTTCCAGAAATCACTGGAGTCAGTCTAGGTTCCCAAACTAAGAAACGGCTAGAAAGCCTGGTTTGAAAAGTCCCTCAGCACAAGGAAGCCAGCACCCTCACAGAGCCTATGGGGACCTGGGGCCGGGCCGGACGCAGATGCAAGGTTCAGCCAGTGCAGGATGGAGAAAGAAGGAGTCTTGGAGACCTACCTCGTCACCCACTTCCTGGGCACCAAATACGGAAATGGCAACCGCGGGCTACGCCACGCTGACCCGCTAGTCAGTGCCCGACCGCGGTCACGTGGGCCGGAGCACGAGGAGAAGCTCCGCCCTGAGCTCACGCAAACGGGGGGGGGGGGGGGGGGCGTGTGGGTGAGGCCTCCAGCGCGCGCTG